ACAGCCCTCTCTATAAAGAGGCGGATTGACACGTGCGACTAGGATTTGTGAGACGTTCGCTGCTTATTTAGTTGGCTGATTAATGACAGCTGACACAGGTATAAAAAGCAAGACAGACAGACAGACAGAGAGAGAGCGAGAGAAAGAGAGAGGAATTGATGTATCACGCATACTGAAGCGTGCCTAGACAACATATTGCGCATACGCTCAGTTGGCTGTTAAATAAGACGAATTGTTGAAACGTTTGTCTAATTCTGTTCGACAATAAGTTAAAGAGTTCACGCTTTTACCTTACAGTTAGAAAGTCTATTGAGCTGTTGACTCTTTTGATGAGTCGGCCGTTGTCTTGAGCTGTGGAGTAAACAATAATAGCACCACTATGGCACTTGCAGCTCTATCTGGAATATGATCAACAAGTTTGATAATTCAAATTCATATTATAAGAATCGATAGATTCACAGAACATAGCTTTAACCATTAAGCATGCCATCTCTTAGCTACAGCTAGCAAAGCTCAAGTCAGAAGGAGGCTTGAGAGAGGCTTAAATTGTCCGACACGAACAGAATTCTATGACCAAGGAACAAGAGGTATTCCAGTGGCTTAAACTAGGTCTAAAACTCTTATAAATGTTACTGATGACCACCTCCTGACGCTTTCAAATGGACACTGGTAGAGATGAACTGAGGACACTTGTGGCAAGCCACTGCAATAGATCTAAGATGTGAGATCAGCCAATGTTGTAGCTCAATCATTTCCAGTGCAGCATAGATATGCTGTAAGGCACTCAAAGCTTTTAACAAGGCTTGCAACTAGCAGGTGAACTACTCAAGATCCTTGAATAAGTTACAGCATATCTGTGCCTCTTTACTCCCTCCTTCACTCCCTCTTTGCATAGTTTGCTCCATAATACCATCTACCTCTCTTCTTCCATATAATGATAACTTAGTTGAATGCTTTTATTATTTGTCAGCTCTATATACTCTGTCAATTATTAAGTTTGTTTCGAATAAGCTCACTGTCAGCTGGGCAAGTCGCTCAACGAACAGAGCTAATGGCGCGCTAAGAACACATTGAATTTTCAAAGAACTAAGAACAAAGAGTCCTCGTCCAGCTCAGCTTTCTTAGACCCCAACCTATGTTGTTTTGAGGCAAATGGCCCATGCCTGAAATTGCCCCACATGCGAGTCATGATCTCATGCTGGCAAACTTTTTGGAGCCACAGCCATTTCCGTTGCTTTGTGCCTTGGCCGTGACTACTTAAAATTAAAGATGCTTCGAGTGGAGGCGGGCAGCATAAAGCGAGTTGATTGCGGATGTGCTAACGACATGGGGATCTGTTACACTTGGCTGATAATTCCCATAATTTGGCAGCTCATTTCGATTGTGTCTGTACTTCACTTTTTGCTCAGCTTAATTATGGAAACTTGTTCATTAGATTAATTATATTCTGCCAGAGCAATGAAAAGCAATTTACCATTTACCATTTGCCACTTACCATTTAGCACTTGGCATATCGATTAGAATTTCAGCGATTGGCATTTTAATTAAAGGAATTTGCTTTCAATGCACTGGCTGAAGGTGCAATTGACTGCTTTATGACATCATTATATGCGAGACATATATGTATGAAAATATGATTCGAATAGGCAATCTTTAAGCTAAGCTGCTTTACCTTTAAGCGAGACATGGTGCGGAAGAGTTAGAAGAGCTACTAATTCGTTTAGTACAGCTATGCTAACAATGAAACAAGTATAGATGCGCTGATCGGGAGTGCTTAACTAGGAAATACCCGGAACCGTGCTGTTTCAATTATCTTCTTACACTAACGAATGCAGAGTATATGTATACCTTAAAGCCACGCCTCTTACTGCCTATTGCTTTAGCACAAATGAACTCTTTGGGCTCTCTCAGTTTAAGGCTTAAAGACCTCATTCAGCATTGATATTTCTCCCAATTAGCAGTAAAATGACGTACTTAAGAAATTTAAGGAATCTCCAATTGCTATTTACATACACAAATAGATATTTATTGGGTTTGCCAATTGACGCAGACATTTCCACACGTTTCTGCGGTTATTGCTAATCAGTGAATCGTAAAGATAATTGATAGTTCATTCACACAGCTGCCAGCTGCACTGAAGAAAGCATAAAACTGATTCATTAAGATATTCAGTCAATGTTTACTAAACACCAACAGCTCAGCCGAATGAATGTCGCATGGTCAAGTGACGAATAAGCATTGACGAAAAAACCCATTCTACAAATGGTTTATGAGACATAAATATAAAGTAAACTGCAAACATAATGCTTGCGTCACTAGAGAAAGATTATTTGACTTTTCTGGGAAGAGTGGAAACAGCTGCAGAATTTTAGAAAAAAACAGTGAAGTAAAAGTGAAAAATAACATAAAAAATATGGCAGAAATTTTGAAAAATGACTAAAAAATTTGCTCAAAATCATTTTATGATCACATATATTTATACATATGTACATATGCTTGTTTAGCTTGGCGATTTATTCAACGTATATTTTTATATATTCATGTCTATTTCCATACACGTGCAGCAGCTTAAATGTAGCCTTAAGATATAAATACTTCACTCACTCAATACGAATGTATCTGCATTCAGTTAAACACGAAACGAGACTGAGAAAGCAAAGCGACGAAGCAGAGTAGCTGAAGAACTTGAGTTACGTTTCGTTTTTTGTTGTTGTTAATGCTGTCTGTGCATATTTCCCTATGTTTGCAGCGATATACAGAGATAGAAAGAGAGAGAGAGAGACAGACGTGCGTACGTGCGTGTGTGTGTGCGTTTGAGCAGCAAGTTTTAGGCTGCCGCTGTCAACAGAGACAAGACAAAAAGCAGAGAAGAAAAAAAAGTTTCTGCTTATTTGTATGCATGCCTGTGTGTGTGTGTTTTACCAAATTAGCAAAACCGGTTTACACTGGTGTGTGTGTGGGTTAGGCAAGGAACTTAGCAAGGGCATCGGGGGAGTAACAGTAACAGCAGCAGCAGCAAAAAAAAAAAACAAGCTAAAGATAAACAAAAGCCGCTTTTGCTCATTAGCCCTTGTTGTTGTTGTTGCTGCTGCTGAAACTTGCGACTGAATCGAGCAGTTAGACATTTGCCCTACCTCGCATATCAGCAATAGCAGCACGAGTAGCTGCACCCATATACCAGGTGGAACTGCTCAGCTTTTTGGCAAATTTTATCAACAAGGTCGTGAGCGCAAAGCTAAACAAAACTTGAGAGCGAAACAATGAAAGAGCGCTCGAGTGAATGAGTGAGTGAGCGAGTGAGGAGTGACTGAGTGGGGGAGAGCAAGACAAAGCGTATGCCATTGCCCTACTGTAAGCAAGGCAAAAGGGAGTGGGGGAGAGAGAGACGGCGTCTGAATTCAACAAGTCGAGAGAGCCGCTCTTTGCCTTGTCTATACATATGGACATGGATATTCGCTCATATAATGCATATTTCCACGTGCGATCTGTGTTTCACTGATAACTGCTGTCTCAGCGCGCTCGATGTTACAGTCTGGTCCAGTTCTGCCGCAGAACGAGTTTAGCAAAAAACGACTTCAATTTCCATTGGCTTAATCGATATTGTCTTTTTAAGTAAACAATTCGCAGTTGTTGTTGACGTCAATATTCCAGATAAATAAACTGATAACCTCAGCCAGAGCTAATGGCTTAACTTTTGTGTATGTAGCAATGCTCCCTAATGGGAATAACAATAATGCAATAATAATGAAGCTTTGTTATTTTTTTTTGCAGAAATTCAAAAGCTTTTGTCGAATATTTAATTGTATCTATAAAAATCAACAGAATCTTTAATCTTTTTTCTGAAAATAAAAAATGATTTCATTGCGGCCAACCGGCTGGCTGTCTTGTTATGCATAGCTAGCAAAAAGCTACATAACTATGATAAAGAATTGTTTTTGTTGCTGCTTTTCAATATGCAAATCAGCACAAATCGTGAGCAGGCAATACAAACCCGTATTAACTGCAGCTTTTAGCTTTAATGTGCAATCAAAGGCCAAACGCAGAAGGCCAATCGTTAACTGTAAGTCATTTAGAACAGAGATCTAAATAGATCTAAATATGCAAGTGGCAAAGGGCGATAAGCTTACCTCGTCTGACTATGAACTGAAACATTTCAATATGTAATAAAATAAACAAGGGATAAGGCAATGATCTAAAAATATGTTCTGATCACGCTAGGTATATCTAAGCGTGATCTAAGGAAACAACTATGTAAACAAAGATCTAAGCATGAACTAAAGCAAACACTGCATAAGGCATTACGGCTTTCCTTGTGTTCGCTAAGATCTAAAAGATCTAAATATGTATTGAAGTAAGCAATGCAGAAGGCAATGATCTAAAAGAGCTACTATATTTGAATATGCCCTAAGGCAATTGAGGTTGCCTTGTTTGGTCATGATCTAAAAGACGAAAACTATTTAAATATGCTCTATAAGCTCCCTATAAGGAAACTGGGCTTAACTAGTTTGGCTATGATCTAAATAAGCACAAGTCAGCTTATAAGATTGATCTATTTATAAATATATGTATATAAATACACATAGTAACGACGCTGCTCGCCCTTTTTAGACCTCCCTCTTTCTCTCTTCCTCTCTTAGTCGAATTGAACCAATGTCTTTTTAGACTTAACTCTCTCCCACTCGCTCTCACTCTCACTCCTACTCGCTCTCTCCCTCAGTTGCCTATGCCAGCGTCTCTGTAAACATTTGTTTACTCTGTTTTAAAACATTTTTCAATTAAAATTCATTTTTTAGCAATTGAATTGAATATAGAACGCGTTCGTTGACTCTTCGCCGTTTCGTTTTCATATATCGCGTGTGCGCTCTGCGTTTGTATGTTATTTCACACAGCAATACATCTCTATAGTCATATATAGGTATATACACATATATATATATATATATATTAGTTTTTATTTTCATTTGTTTTTTGCTTATATTCAATTCGCTGTTGTCACTGACCGTTTTTTGTTTTCGACCGTCGTTGCTGGCCGTCGAACGTTTCGTTGAATACTGAAATTTTTTCTCCCGAGCAAGAATTTATAATTGTATTCAGTTAATGTCGGACTGTTAAGGCGGGAGACAAGATTATTCTCGGCGCGCCAAGAACTTTTTGTTGCCTGAAGCAATTGAAAGTGAGAGGCGCTCTGGGCATATTGGCGCTGTGCAGTCCGTAGGAGGCGCGGCAACTTCTTGATCAGGAGCTGAATTGATCCAGCTCTCTTTGTCTGTCTCACGCGTCGACCTCTATTTTAGAGGAGAGTTTTCATTCTTCTCATAATATATCTAAACTCATTTGAATTAATATACTCTTGATCTGTGAGACATTGATGGAGTGGACTATAGGCCAAACAAGCGTAGCTTTATAAGCAACTGTGCGTGTGCGCAGGGTATCTTCTAGTCGGGCAATCCATACCAGTATAGCTTTGGCTCCAAAGTTCCTCTTAAACACACGTCACTTCGTATAGGAGCAAATCGTCATCTGCAAAAGGGTACAAAGGTTGTTTCATGTGTTTGCAATTAATTTTGTTGGCTCCAGCGAATGACTGCAGTATGACTAAGTTCCCTTTTCTTTATCATGGGAAATAGCCAATCTTCTTTAAACACTGATTCGGATATGTAAACATTGTATTGTTATAATCGTATGCCTACCTATGGGTGCCCTATATATATTTTATGATTCTGTCGACTCATTTCCTCTCAAGTTTTTTTGGTCGCATATCAGCAATGACAGGAAAATTGTCACGTTTTCCATGCACTTGAATAAATTTACATTTACGATGCAATTATGAACGCTAATTGCGGCTTAGCAATTTTATGATTTACAAATCCATCAAAATTTTGCTATTCCCCAACGATGATATGCGAAATAGGTGTGTTTATTGCGAGTCACGAACTTACGTCTTCGATGATTAGGTATTGTTGCACAAGTTATCGATAACAAAATAAATAAAAAATAGATTTAATATGGCTTATATTCGAATAGCTACGAAATACTATATTTTCTTATTACTTAATTTTACATATAACATTTTCGAAAAATTTCTAAACATTTTCGAATTACTTTTGCCAATGTTTGAGTTTAAAAACGCACAGTAATATCGTAACAGATGGCCGTGTTTTTATTACGGTTTTCCATTTTTTCTGTTTACCTTCAATTATTTATAATTAATCTTTGCTTTGTATACAGTCCATATATATACAAGAGAAAAAGCAATAAAATGAGTTAATTTTTTATGAAAACTAAAAAAATCTATTTTTAGTATATGTAAAGTTTGTATATGTAAAAATGCGAGTTCGAGGCCGCGCAAAGACAATCGATTTTGGCCTGTGAGAGATAAATACATTTATTTATTTAATTTTTTTTTTTATTTAAAAAAATTTGAAAAGAATAAAACTCTTTCTACTCTTTCTACAAACCAAAAAATATGTTTTGTGGCTTTTGCCAAGCTCAAAGTAAGCAACAGGCGAGAGAGTAAGAGAGCTGTTCTCATTGTATTGAGATCGTTGCTGCGACCGTTGTCTCTTAAAAAATTACTTTGTTTTGCTTTGTTTACTCTTAGTTATTTATAAATGCTCTCTGACATATAATGCATATGTGTGAGTGTGCGTACAACTAGTACTTTATAAATGAACAACTACTGGAGCAGCTTAGCAAAGTGCAAGTTAGCTCACAAATGAATGATGGCTGCAGTGGTGTCGTGCAAAGAGGCTCGCGGCGATTTGCACAACAACAGAGAACGATAAAATCCAAATTCGCGGTTCGAAACCCCGCCGGGCGGTAAACATATTTCTATACGATACGAAATCAAGTTTTCTTAATTTAATTATTTTTAATTCCGCAATGCGACTCATCATGGCATAATGATTCGACTCTTTCATAGACGAAAAATTTCCGCATGAATCGTAGAACATAATTCATGGGTTAATGCGCGTGTCTACTGACATTTCATATGGTGAATGACAGTGCTTCGTGTAATTTCCCTACACTAAAAATACAATATATTTTCTTTTACTAATTAATTTTCTTTTTTATAGCAACCACAAATTTTGTTGGAAAATTTACGCAAAGCGTGCGCCGCATCGTGCAGGATGTGAAGGACGAGGGCGCACCGAGCGGCATGACACGCGATGAGGTTATCGAGACGAACGAGCGCTTGCGATCGCTACGGCTGCGCCTCGAGGAGTCCTACGATACAGTAAAGAAAGCACTGATTAATCTAATGAATCAATACGGCGATTCGAAGAGCCATCGCAACATATTTCAGCGCTATCCCATGCTCAAGCTGATGATAAAGGTAAACTTATCGTCGATTCGATTTGTTAGCAACTGCCAAAACAATACTAATCGCAATTGAATGTAGGAAGTCATACGGCTGGAGACCCAGTATTGGACATTGGTCGATATTCCGCGACAGGAGAAACAGGAAACTGTGCCGTCTTACGTGATGCGCGCCTGCTCCATCATGGAGAAGACGCAGAAGTCGGGCGAGGGCGTCAAGACATCGGCCAAGCTGGCCGATGAGGCCGCTGAGCGCAGGGAGCGCATGGAACGCTTAGAACGTAAGTTAAGTCGTTAAGCCGAGTGATTAACACTGATTAGCTCCATCTAACCGCCCTTAGACATGACAACGGCACAAATTGAGCTCGAGAATACGCAGCTGATTAATGATTTGTATCGCTTGCTGAAAAAGTATCTGGGCTTGCGGCACTTGATACGCGTGCTAAAGGTGAGCGAACAATTGGAACGAAACGTCCGATGCAATGAAAGGGAAACACTCTCCCCTCTCTAACTCTCTCTCTCTCTCTCTCTCTCTTCGCAGGAAGAGTACGGCAGCTCAAAGATGTATCCGATATTTCCGCGATACACAATGCTCAAGGATATGATAAAGGGCATCATGCACGACCCCGACTACATGGAGGTGTGCCATGAAACGCTGGCCAACTCCAACTGAGCCGAGGCATCCGGAAATGGCAGGCGGCGCATGAGTGTCATATGAGAGGGCCAGCCCGAGACACCCACGCACGCACACTAGTCCAACAGGATGTGTGTGTCGTGTGCTGGATTCTGCTTGCGTCTTTCTGCCATGTTCCGTCAGTGTTTAACAACTTTCAATGAACGTTAACTTTTTTGCATAGTTAGATACAAATCTTTAGATAATTTTTAGCCTCAACACCGGAGGCAAACAAACAAAACACCTACCCCACCACAAAAGTAAACTACTTAACAACAACTACAACAACAACTACAACTACAACAAACTATTTACCACAAACAGCAAAAGACACTTGATATAACTTGGCTATGAGAGAGTGTAACCAAAAAGTAAAACAAAACAAAACCAAACCAAACAAAACAAAAAGAAACGCATTTATTTTAATGACTTTTTGAGATGAATATAAAAACTACAACAAAAACAAAACAAAAACAAAACACAAAATAAACTAAAAACTAAACTTAACATACGCGAATAATGTACAACTCAAGTATTGAATGTCCTTCATGCCACAAGCAACATTATATAGAGCATTAGCCACATATATTAGCTGTGTATGTGTGAGTCAGCCACATCCATGCGTCTACTGCATTTCTGTTCAATTTCTTATAAATTATTTGAGCAATTCCATTTTCTATAAACTTATACAGTACTCAATTTCCCCACTTCAATCATTTTCTAGGCTATTTTCATAAGATTTCAAACAAAAACCAAAATTTTCAAGAAAGAAAAATAGAAATTGCAATATTCTAAAATTTTAATAATTTCTAAAATGTCTTAAAAATTAAAAATGTTTTAAAATTCCACATTAAAAAAATTTTACATTTTCAATACAAATTGGAAATATTCCCTATACTTTCCAAAAATTTCCAAAATTGACAATTTTCTAAAATTTAAAAATAAAAAACAAAATTAAAAATATCTTCAATTAAAATTTGCTAAAATCTAAAAATAAATTTCTAAATAATTCAAAATTTTCAAAAAATTGTAAATTTGCTTAAATTTGTAAAATTTCCTACAGTTTAAAAAATTTCCAAATTTATTCAAAACTTACAAAAATTCCTACAATTTAAAACTTTCTCTAAAATTTAAAAAAATATGATAAATTTGAAGATGACAACAAAATTTGAAAAAAAATCCTCTTAAATTTTTTAAAATTCTTAAATACTTAAGTTTTTCAGAATATTTTTTTTAAGTTAGGAAACACAAAAATTTCAATAATTTTCATATGTTTTTTAACACTTTTAAGAATTTAATACATTTACTTAAAAGCAATTTTTAGCTAACTTGTGGAAAAATGAAAGTCTTATATATTTTGAAATCACATAAATATATATAAAAAATTTGACATAGATAAAAAAATTATGAATTATTAATTGAATACATTTATAAGTCCTTATTAATTTCAAATTTCAAATTTTTCGTTTCATATAAATTTATATTTCGTATAATATTCATAAGTATTCCCTCGTTTCTCTGCTTGATTTTCCTATGTTCAATATTAATATATAACTAAAAGTAAACCTAAATTAAATTAAAATCTTATTCATATACATCTCTAGACATATTTCAATATTAAACAAGTAAGAACTTTGCAGTCGGGCGTAACCGACTGCTTAATACTCGTTCACAAAGCGAAACAGCTAAATATCTGCTTTCCGCTCTACTTAGATCTTGCTGAAGAGAAGACTAACTATAATCCTTTAAAATTTGTTACTGAATCTGTAGATTAAATTCAATCTACAATTTTTCTAGTATTCTTATAAGCTCGATCAAACATAATCAAAATTCCAAACTACAGATCCGTTCTATGCAGACATATATAGATAGATATTGTCTGGCACTAATATACCCTTTGTTAACTGCGTGAACGAGCATAACTCTTTAAATAACTTGTATAGTTAGACAATATAAGGGAAATGTTCCCAGAAATTAAATTGAAACTAAATTTCTTGACACTTTTTGAAGGAAACACCAATTATACTCGTATAACTATGGAAAGTAAAAATATATTCAAGTATAACAAAAAATAACTCAGGATCATTTGCTATGGTTCCTCGACACTCCAAAACTCTTTGTAGCAAAACTATTTTTCCAAACCCAAACACGAAAAGGAATCATATATATATATGTAGCTATATGTTTAGCAAAAATTAAAGCTTTAAGTCCTATGCAATGTGTAATTAACACCCCAAAAACCAGAAGAAGAGAAGAAGTGGAGTTAAGTTTAAAATTCGAATAATAACAGATATATTAACTATGTTTTAGCTTTAGCCAAACCTACCAAAAACTATGCAAATGCGTTTATACGAGACCAATTACAAATTCTACGAGCTTACCAAAATTTGAACATTTGAACATTTGAACAAGAGAAAGAAAAAGGAGAAGAACAATTAAAATCTAAACATGCTTAATTAAATTTTATTTGAACCAAAAAGTCTACAGACAAAATGCCACCAAAATATCAAAACTCTATGAGACTTACTGAATGAACACTATATCAACCATATGAGAACCATAATTTCGAACATATATTTCTATGCTACATTTATATTTTTAACTACAACGTTGACACACCCACCGAAACTATTCACGATCAACAAAGAGGGCGAACTATGATCCCTTCGAAATGAACAACAAACAAACAAACATTATTTATACACCAACTCGGGTAAAAGATCTCTGCTGGGCATATATTTGACAAGTTTGGATTAGACATATATGTAAAAATACCCTGGAAAGATCGAGACGATCGTACAAGCAATACATTTCTTTTTATAGGAGATTTACTAACCAAGAATCAGACTACACTTGCGGAGGTTCAACTAACTCTTAAGTAAGAGAGGCAGAGGAAGAGAGGATGGGTAAAAGAGTAAGACAAAGAGAGAAGGAGAAGGGAAGGGAATCTAAGAGAGAGAGAGAGAGATAGAGTAAGAGAGATAGCAATATAAAGAAAGCAGAAAAGTGACAAAGGGAAAGCGTGAAAAACGACAGAGCCATAGAGGCAGAGAGTTGAAGTAAAAAAGAGGTGATTGGCTGAGAAGGAGATAGAGAGATCTAGAGTGGAAGTAAAAGTGTGTGAGAGTGAAAGAGAATAATCAAATGAAAGTCAATAGCAGGAGTTAGAGATGGAGAATAAAATACAAATGACTCAGAGAACTGAGTTGGAGAGGTAAGGGAGTAAAGTAATATAGTAAGAGAGGATGCCAGTTAAAGGAGAAGAGAGAAAGTGGAAAAAAGATAAGGAGAATGGGAGAGGATCTACACTCTTGGGTTATAATACTTCTATGGCTATTCTGGTTTCGGATATCAGATGCGTATTTAGTCTGATTCTCGATTACTAAATCTTAACAAATTTGATTTGCTTCTCCGATTATGCCTTTTCCTAATAATAATAATTCCTAATAATCATAATCAAATGCTTTTGTTGAAATTGACAGAAATTGTATCTATATGTTACATATAAATATATAGTATACAGTAAAACACAAATGTTTTATTTAGCATCCATTTTATATATTTTGATTGTTATTCAAAGTTTTTGAGTAGTTAAATGCAAACTAAATGCAAAGAAAATTATATCTAAAATATATATACAGGATATATATATACTGAAAGGAACTTGCAAATGATTTTCAGTGAAGTTCGAGTAATCAAAAAACCAAATAAACTAAATTAATCAAAATGTATTAAGAAAATACTAGCAATATCTTATCGCCTCATTAGTTGATTGAGTGTGCGTGTGTGTGAGAGTGTGTGTGTGTGTGTGCTTAGTTGATATGTGTTTATATAAAATGAAATACAGTATAGCTAGTTAATACTTACTTCAGTGGATGTTAATCCTGTACTATACAAATCATACATATATATACAAACACATCGGAAGCTTACACAAACTAAAGTACATACCAGATACAAAGAAAAACATTCAAGCAAGGGGTATATACTATATATAATACATTGACCTATATATATATATATATACATACATATATATTATATACGAAAACATCGTACAATTTTACCTTTTCAACTTCTAAGTGTCTACCAGAAACGGAAAGCGGATATACAAAGAAAATAAAACAAAAACAAAAACAAAAACAAATATATTGTGTGTGTATGTTATTACATATGACATTATATTCGAATATGCAATATTATTAAAACCTATTAAATATATTGGTATTTAAAAAATATAAAATGTGTTTTAATGCTCTTAAATTTATAATCAATTCATATTTATTCAATATTTAAATTGGTTAATTCGCTGTCAGTTGGCATGGCGCCATCTATGTGCTGAGTAACTTACTTAACAACGAAGCTCTATATTTACAATCGCACACAGATGGCGCCCATCATATTAGCAATTTTGTAAGTTTCACACATAGATGGCGCAGTGCTTAACCTGGGAAATTCTTTCTTTTCCTTGTACCTAAAGAAATTTGAGCGAAAAAGCTTAAATAAAAACTTCTAAACAAGTTTAATAACCATGAAAATAAGCTCAGATAACACTACTATTTAAGTAAATTCAATGCCAGCTACTTTTTAGCATGAGTGGCACGCCTTTCTCTGACTGCCTCCACATCGGCATCCGATGGATCCTCTGGTAGCGTGTCCACAGATAGAGAGGAGCCCTTCGACTTGGAGCTGGCACTCGAGCCGGAGCTGCTGCCAGAGTTCTTGGGATACTTAACCGCCTTGGTATTGCCCGAACATTGGATAATGAAGCGCAGTTCATCAAGCAGCTCATCCTTGAAGTTAACCTGGCCAAATACAAAACTCTGTTAATACCTTACAAATACTTCCTAAATATATAAAACTTCCTTAAATTGACATGCCAAGCAAATGGAACAACTAGAAAATGTGAATGAATGAGCTGAGAATTAGGTTTGGGATTGAGTTAAATTGCAATTTTAATGTATTTCGAGTAGCTCCATAAGTCCATGTGGAAGCTGTTGAGAAATATTCGTTATTGAAGTTACAGTTTGACCTTCGGCATGCCCATTTTTAGTCACGACACAATTAACTTTCCGTCCAACGGGCGAGCTGTTAATATCTGAGCAGACATGTATATAAATATATATATATATCTATATATAGTGTGCAGATATATATATATATTTATATTTATGGAGCCTCCATGTTTTCCGCCTTTGTTACCTTGTTCTCTCGTGCGGTCCAGTAGCTGCTGAGCACGCAGTTAATCAACCCATAAACGCTGGCAAAACAGCTGCCCACGAACATGACAAGATAAACGCCGCCTAGATTCGCAAAGCCCAATGAGGAGGCATCCGAATTGACTTCCTCCTGCAGTCATTGTCAATGTCAACAATTGTGTTTCGTCCCGAGCTTTTCTCTGAGTGTG